CGGGGGGGTAGTAAGGATCTGGATCTCAACAGGGAGCTCATTCCAGAGGGCCGGAGCTGCAACAGAGAAGGCTCTCCCCCGGGAGATACCAAATACCAAATACCAACTAATTATCGAGAGAGACAGAGACAGAGCGACAGAGAGTAAGCTTGTCTCCCACTTCGTCTCTCCTGCCTCGTCTCTCCTGCCTCTTCGTATCTCCGTTCGGTCATTGGGTGGCAGATTGAAAGCGGGAGCCAAGCCGGATCATTCCTTCCAAGAGGCAACTTTCCCATCGAATGACCCTATGCAGTCCCTCTCATCTGCCTTGGATGCCAGCAAGAGTGTTGGGATGAAGGAAGGAGGATACTCTCTCTCCCTCTCCCTCTCCCACTCCCACTCCCTCTCCCTCTCTTTCTCCCTCTCTCTCTCTCTCTCTCTGGCAAATGGCAAATCTGAGCAGCCGCTGGTGGGAGCCCCTCCCATGCCTTATCCCAACCCCACACCCCTTCTCTCAGCTACTTTCTGCCTTGTGATTGCTGTCTCCAGGCTAGCTCTCCTCTCCTATTATCATGGAAGGCGTCTCACAAAAACCACTATGCGGCAGTTGGAAACTGCTGCATGGTGTTTTGTTGCCACGTACGTGGCCGCACAGCTGCGCAGCTTAGAGGGAACATTGTATAAGATGCTCCGAAGTATAAGATGCACCTAGCTTTTGGGCTGGGGGACAAGGGGGGGGGAATCTGGCTCTGTCTCCCAGAAATTTGCCTCCTTGCAACAAACAGCAAACAGTACAGATGATATACCCTCCCCTGTGTTGTTACATTTCAAACTATACTTGCATAGATGCTGTTAAAGTTACCTTCTTGCAGCAAACAGCCTGATTAGCACAAGAAAAAAAATCTGCTTCTGCTTCCCAGCAATTTGCCTCATGCAGCAAACAATCTATTTCACTTTCACTTTCAGCACGGCCTCCCGATGATCAGCTGTTTCAGGCTAAAGGGATTGCCATAGGCTATTCCCACCTCCACAAGCCCAATTTTCCCCTTTGCTGCAAGGAGGTAAATTGCTAGGAGGCATAGGCCAAAGGGTGGGGGGCCATGGGTGGGTGGGGCTACATTCAGTGTATAAGATGCACCCAAATTTTCACCCTCTTTTAGGTGGGGAACGGTGTGTCTTAGACTCTGAAAAATACGGTACTTCTTTTCATTTCTCAGACCCTACCGACGTCCAGCTGTCAACCTCGATTCTGCAGAAAAGGAAAACTCCTTTTTGAAAAAGTTTTTCATGTAGCGACATGTTTACATTACATCTTAACAATCACTATTTTGTATTATCCAGGATTATACAAATTTTCCTTGCAATCAATCCACAACAACTGATGTTTGCTCTTCTGCTTTCTATACACCATATTATACCCTATTTCACCTCTGCCCTCTCTCTCCTCTCTCTCTCCTCCACCCTATCTCCTTTCTTCCCTCTACCATCCCTCGCTTCTCTACTTCCCCTTCCTCTCTCCTTCTTCTCTCTCCTCTTTCCATTCCTTCTCTCTCTCCTACTCTCCCTTCTGTTTCCCTCTCTCCTATCAACCCCTCTTCCTCCTTTCCCCTCCCTTGCTCCTTTAAACTCTCTCCACTTAGTTTGCATGTATTTCAGCGGTCAAGGAAGTTTCATTCAATATTGATGGTATTAATAATTGTGCAGGTCTTCTCCATGTTGGCTTTCAGTGCTAGCCTCTTGCAATTAATTTTTCTCCCCAAATGTTATATTATTTTCCTAAGACCAGATCTGAATACAAAAGATTGTATGATGTCAAAATAAAACAGTAAATTGAGTTCTGTGTATGTGTTTACCACAAAATGTCAGTTAATAAATGCACCAAATGGGTCATTTCTTCATTTTGGTAGAAATGAACTCCCAGTTATAATGAATGTGTTTCCCCTCTTTTTGCTGTTCAGTGTATGGGAGAGCGTGTGGGGAAGTCGTGGGTTCCGGCAGCTGCTACTGCCAGTTCACTCAGGGACACTTTGCATGTCCATGCATTGGGGGCATGAACAGTAAAACAAAAATTGCTCTGCACATGCGCAAAAGCCAAAAACAAGATGGGAGAACTGGTTTGGGGGCATGGCAGGCTTGGGTCACTGCCAGTTCCAGCGAACNCCCCCCAGATCCTTCGCCGTCCGGATCTCTGTGTGTAGCCCATGAATCCCCCCCCCCCAAATCCCTCGCCGCCCTGGTCTGCGTGTGTAGCACCTGCATCTCATCCCCCCGCCCCCCCCAAATCCTTCACGGTCCGAGTCTCTCTCTCCGTGTGTAGCACATGCATCATCTCCCGCCACTCCCGCCGCCCTTCTTCTTTCCTCAGCCCTCCCCACAGCCACCGCTCCAGCGCTCTTCCCCCCCCCGCCCCGCCCTTTCTGCGTTCCACAGCTAAACGCCAGAGCGCGCTTCTCGCGTAGAAACGGCTTCCCAGCCGCCCCCCACCCCTTTGAGAGCCGCTGTTGCGGAGGAGGAGGAGGAAAAGCGGAGAGAGAGGCTGGTGCGTTGTCAGCCCTCCAGAAGCTCGCGCGGGGGTCCGCGGGCGCGCGTGTTTTTTTTTTTCCTTTTTTCTTCCTTCCCACAACGCAAAACGGGAGAGCTGCGCCTGAGAGTTAGGGTTAGCCCACACGAGCTCGACGCCTATTCCGGAGGGCGGTTGCGGGGAGGCGCGTTTTTCGCAACAGGCAGCCAGGCAGCCGGCCGGTTGGTTGGTCGGTCAGCGCCGCCTCGGCCAAAGCCATGATCGGTGTGAACAGCATCAACAGCAGCGGCAGCGCCGGGCGTCTCCGGCCGCGCTCCATGTGCTCGGTGCGCTATGGGCGCAACTGCCGCGGCGTGGAGACCTTCTGCTACGGCTGGCCGCAGCGCTCGCGAACCCTCAAGCCCGTCCTCTACACGGACCTGGTGGTCAACCGCTTGCAGAGCCGCAGGAAGAAAAAACCGGTAAGGAAGACGTCAGGGCGAGGCTCTGACGTTATGCCTTCTCCTGCTGCGGAGAAAAAGGTGGGCTTGAAGGGGGACGAGAGTCGCGTGGTACGTAGGCCGCTCCGGCCTCGCCCCCCCCCCATTATCCTGAGGTGAATGTTCCTCACCCCGCTTGGCAATTAGAAGGCTTTGCTCTCCAAGCAACGCCCTGACGAGATGGGCTCGGCTGCGCTTTGGGCGGGCGTGAGGGGTGTCCCCCCCCCACACACAAAAAGGAGATGCTCCCTAAAGGACAAGCCCGCAAGGTTCAAGAAGACGCGAAAGAAACCTGGTTGTGTATTTAAAAGCGGGCTCTTTGGTGCATGGGATGCACACGGCCCCAATCTGCGCATGAATGAACCGCGGGCCTATGCGTGTGTAAGCACAGAATGACAGGGGTGGTTGTGTCAATGCTCACTCCTCTATCGTGGTCGGTGGTCTAAGAGAGAGTGGGCAACTCTTCATGTAGGATAGGATAGGATAGCATAGCATAGGATAGCATATGTGGAATGGAATAGGATAGAATAGAGTAGAATGGAATGGAATAGAATAGAATGGAATATGTGGAATAGAATAGAATATGTGGAATAGAATAGAATATGTGGAATGGAATAGGATAGGATAGGATAGGATAGAATTCTTTATTGGCCAAGTGTATTTGAACACACAAGGAATTTGTCTTCGGTGCGTATGCTCTCAGTGTACATAAAAAGAAAAAAAATACATTCATTAAGAATCATAAGGTACAACCCTTAATGATAGTCATAGTGTTGTATGGGTCCAGCAGCTAGATAGAGCCCTGTGCGGCTCACATCAAGCTTCATGCCAAGGAGTATTGTTATTTATTTGTCGTATGTTTGTTTTGTCAAGCGTGTATAAGATAATAGATATAAGTACATACAAGATTATGAATACATGAAATGGATACAAATAAAAGAGAACATTAGGACAGGAACAGTAGGCACGTTGGTGCTCTTATGCACACCCCCTTACAGATCTTTTAGGAAAGGGGCGAGGTTGACAGTAGACGGTCTACGGTTAAAATTATGGGGGTTTGGGGAAGAAACCACTGAGTCAGGTAACACATTCTTGAGTTCCATTTATTCAGCACACATAAATAGATGGCAGCACCTATAAGCTTATCAAATACCATATTTTTCAAAGTATAAGATGCATCGGAGTATAAGATGCACCAAGGTTTTGAAGAGGC